GGGTGTGGTTTGGGCTTTGCTTCTGTGAAGATTGACAGCCTGGGAAACCCTGTGGGGCACTTCCACTCTGTCCTCTAGGGGCGCTGTGAGTCAGAATCGACTCCACAGCAGTGGGTGTGGTTTGGGCTTTGCTTCTGTGAAGATTGACAGCCTTGGAAACCCTCTGGGGCAGTTCCCCTCTGTCCTCTAGGGGCGCTGTGAGGCAGAATCGACTCCATGGCAGTAGGTTTCATTTAGTTTTTGGTAATGAAGTGTGATAGTTAAGGTTGTGTGTCAACTTGGCTGGACCTGGCTGAGTGGCGGGGCAGCTGGATGTGACGATTCCCTATGCTGAGACTGGTTGATTAACTCCATGGTGGAATCTACTGTGAGCAGCTGAGTAGCTGCCTTAAGGATGTGGTCTGCTTCCAGTATATAAGGAGCAGCTCTGAGGGAGGTCTCAAGCTTTTGGCTCGCTTGGACTCTGCATGTAGCTGAGTCACTGTTCAGCAGCCTGCCATGTTGCCCTGCACATCTTGAGACTCTTAATAGACTTGAATGAATGGCCTGTGCGGTTTGGTAACATCAGGACTGTGCCTTTTCACTTGTCGACTCTGGGTTTGTCAGCCTCAGCAGCCAGCAGTTGTCTGAGTGAAGAAAGGCCTCCAGCTTCAGTGGGCCGGGAGCAGGAGGCAGAGCTGAAGCCCAAGGTCGAGGGGCTTTCACCCAGCCCTTAGAGCTGGCACTTTGAACTCGGACTTCTACCCTCCAAACTGTGAGAGAATAAACTCCTGTGTGTTAAAGCATCCCGTTTGTGGCGTATCTGTTAGAGTGTCACTAGGAAATCAGAATAGCAGTCAAATTGTCTCCAAACCCTCTGGAGCTGAGCTCCTGTGTGCGATGTGGTCTGACTGGGAGCACCTAACCTACCTATCAGAGGGGTGTGCGATTTCCTGCAAGAATCGCTAATCCAAAGCTGGGGGCGGGGAGAGATGACTACACAATGGACGCTCCAGAAGCTCATGAAACGGAAGCACCAGCTGTGATTCAGCACCATGGAACGCTGCCTCCGAGAGTGACTGACGCCATGGTCACCAGACACTGTGTTGGCCGGCTGGCTCCCAGGCAGTGCCCCGGGCAGCACAGGGCATCAGGCGGGACTGACGGGACCACAAGGCCAAGGAGTTGGGGAGACAGAGGCACCTTGTCTCGCAGTCGGCACGGCCTGTCATCACGAGGCCACGAGATGAAATGCCACTGGCTGGCTCAAGCCAGCTCTTTGTAACAATAGCGGAGGTCAGGCTGTGTTGGCAAGCAGGAACTACGAGGTGCCCTTTCTGTGTAATCCCTCATCTGTAAATGCCAACCAGGAGGACATGCTTCAAAAGTCCGCAGTCCCCTGCACCACTTCAAAGCACATTCCGATCGGCTTCATTGCATCCTGAATTAAGGGGCCCAAAGGCAGCTGGCGTAAATACCACTCAGGAAAGCCTGGGCTTCATCTCTGTCAGAACGTTTGCACCCCAAAAGACACTACCTCTACGTGTTCACCCTTTGCAAGCGCCCAGGGCTCCTGGGTGTGGATGGCGCACCGGGCCCCTCAGTGCAGGGCCTCCCTCCTTCGCCTCCCTCACAGCTCCACACGGCCACCTGACTGGATCCTCTCGCCCGCGGACTGTGACTAGCAGGGCTGTGTGTCCTCTGCATCTAAGCTAGCAACACTGGGCACCTCCCCACACATTCCTCCTTTCTGGGGAAAATGGGAATCACGCTGTGTCGGGGAGATAAGGACGAGGAGGCCTTGGACAGTTGACACACTCAGTTACTAACTGACTAATGGGTGGGGGTCCGAGTCCACTCACAGGTGCCTCGCAGGGAGGCCTTGATCTACTTGGGAAACCAGCCCCTGAGAACCTCTGGGCCCATGTGAACCCCAGCCCCCAGGGCCCGTCTGAGACCAGAAGAACTGCTCGGTGCCTGGCAACCGCCACTAACTGTTGTGAAAGGGATCACGTTACAAAGTCCCACGCAGAGTGGGGGACAAACGTGGAACAAGATTCAGAATCACAGAAAACACCAGGCTCACTGTCAGACGCACGCTGGT